ATCTCTCTCTCTCTCTCTCTCTCTCTCTCTCTCTCTCTCTCTCTCTCTCTCTCTCTATCTGTGAGATTATGTAGGACAATATGCATAACATGATAAAGATAGGTTAGGAGAAAGGTTTGAGTGTGTCTGAAACGCCTAAGGATGAATTTGTTTTAAAGCATAATCCGAAAAATATGGTTTTCAATTAATCAAAACAAACAAACAAACAAACAAACAAACAAACAAACAAACAAAAACATAAACTAACAACGTCTCGAAATCTCGAGGGTTTTCGTGAAGTTAGGCATTCTGCAATGTCACTAAAAGATTCTGGTCTGCTTTGAAGTTAGTCCGACATATTCCGTACCGGTGATATCATTTTGATCTTGCATACAGTGATTGTCAGTCTTTCATTTCACGTAAAGATGCCAAGTCATGTTCAGCCATCAAAGTTACATAAACTCTTTGTTTTGTTTATCAGAATCTGAAATGTTGCTTTCTACGTTTCCTGCTAACACATTATAACCCCGTCCCTCATACCACTGTAAGTGACTTCTTTACTGAAACAATTATATCTACGCTCTTCATCATTGTTCGAAAAGGATGGGAGTTTGATTCTTGAGTGAGTTAGATCTAGCTGTTTTATTTTTGTCCGTTTATAATGCTGTTTTCCCCTAAGCCTGAGTTGGCTATGACTGTCAGGACCAAGTCAGCCCAGCTCTTTCTCAGTAAATATGGGCTTGAAACATATTTTGTGCAGTCGAACCTGCTGTAACGACCACCTGTATAAAGACAACCACCAGTACAAACGGCTATTTCCATTTTCTCCCTTGCGTATTTTTTTTTTTACATTACAATAACAGTGTAAAAGACAGGTACTTTTCTAAGACGACTACTTTTCTCTGCGACAATGAGTGGCCGTCTTAGACAGTTTCGACTAATTCTCAATAGAAAACGTGACCCTGTCACAGACACCACAACTTTTGCCTGTCCCGCATTGATGATGTGCTACATTCGAGGCTAAACTCGGACCACAGAGGTCAGAAAATGGGCCTATTAAAGTCCAGTGCACACTCTCTGCTCTGGCAGAGATAAGGAAGGGAACCTGAGGGAACCCAACCCACTCGAGACATCATTTTAAATTCTGCTCCTTACGGCAGGCCTATCTCTCTGACAACAGTCTCGAACTTTGTGACCCTATTGTCTGTCCACAACTGTACTGTCCATGCCTTGTTATCACAGAGTTCTTCCAGGTCAACGGGCAGTGTTTGGGAGCTAACTAACTGCATTTTACTGCTGTGGCCTAAAGTCAATACAAGTCAGACACCATAAAATGACACCATCAGTGATATGGTATTTTGTTTGGGCATGCGTTTGATGATGATTATAGTTCTAATCCGTTTTCGAACTGCAAGTGATAACAACATCTATAACAGGAACAATAACAACAGCTGCAACAACGACGATATCAATGATAATAAAGGGAAAGTTGTTCCCGCATCCGATCCGGACATTGGGGATCATCATCATAATAATAATAATAA